CCTATCTCTAGGGGCGCCTATCTCTAGGGGCGCCTATCTCTATGGGCGCCTATCTCTAGGGGCGCCTATCTCTATGGGCGCCTATCTCTAGGGGCGCCTATCTCTAGGGGCGCCTATCTCTAGGGGCGCCTATCTCTATGGGCGCCTATCTCTATGGGCGCCTATCTCTAGGGGCGCCTATCTCTAGGGGCGCCTATCTCTATGGCCGCCTATCTCTATGGGCGCCTATCTCTAGGGGCGCCTTTCTCTATGGGCGCCTATCTCTATGGGCGCCTATCTCTAGGGGCGCCTATCTCTATGGGCGCCTATCTCTAGGGGCGCCTATCTCTAGGGGCGCCTATCTCTATGGCCGCCTATCTCTATGGGCGCCTATCTCTATGGGCGCCTATCTCTATGGCCGCCTATCTCTATGGGCGCCTATCTCTATGGGCGCCTATCTCTAGGGGTGCCTATCTCTAGGGGCGCCTATCTCTAGGGGCGCCTATCTCTAGGGGCGCCTATCTCTATGGGCGCCTATCTCTAGGGGCGCCTATCTCTAGGGGCGCCTATCTCTAGGGGCGCCTATCTCTACGGGCGCCTATCTCTATGGGCGCCTATCTCTAGGGGCGCCTATCTCTATGGGCGCCTATCTCTAGGGGCGCCTATCTCTAGGGGCGCCTATCTCTAGGGGCGCCTATCTCTAGGGGCGCCTATCTCTAGGGGCGCCTTTCTCTATGGCGCCTATCTATGGGGCGCTCTCTATGGGCGCCTATCTCTAGGGGCGCCTATCTCTATGGGCGCCTATCTCTATGGGCGCCTATCTCTAGGAGCGCCTATCTCTAGGAGCGCCTATCTCTATGGCCGCCTATCTCTATGGGCGCCTATCCTCTATGGGGCGCCTATCTCTATGGGGCGCCTATCTCTAGGGGCGCCTATCTCTTTGGGCGCCTATCTCTAGGGGCGCCTATCTCTAGGGGCGCCTATCTCTAGGGGCGCCTATCTCTAGGGGCGCCTATCTCTATGGGCGCCTATCTCTATGGGCGCCTATATCTATGGGCGCCTATATCTATGGGCGCCTATCTCTAGGGGCGCCTATCTCTATGGGCCGCCTATCTCTATGGGCAGCCTATCTCTATGGGCGCCTATCTCTAGGGCGCCTATCTCTAGGGCCGCCTATCTCTATGGGCGCCTATCTCTATAGGGCGCCTATCTCTAGGGGCGCCTATCTTTAGGGGCGCCTATCTCTAGGGGCGCCTATCTCTATGGGCGCCTATCTCTAGGGGGCGCCTATCTCTATGGGCGCCTATCTCTAGGGGCGCCTATCTCTATGGGCCGCCTATCTCTAGGGGCGCCTATCTCTAGGGGCGCCTATCTCTATGGGGCGCCTATCTCTATGGGCGCCTATCTCTAGGGGCGCCTATCTCTAGGGGCGCCTATCTCTAGGGAGCGCCTATCTCTATGGGCGCCTATCTCTAGGGCGCCTATCTCTATGGGCGCCTATCTCTATGGGCGCCTATCTCTATGGGCGCCTATCTCTATGGGCGCCTATCTCTATGGGCGCCTATCTCTATGGGGCGCCTATCTCTATGGGCGCCTATCTCTATGGGCGCCTATCTCTTAGGGGCGCCTATCTCTAGGGGCGCCTATCTCTATGGGTGCCTATCTCTAGGGGCGCCTATCTCTATGGGCGCCTATCTCTATGGGGCGGCCTATCTCTAGGGGCGCCTATCTCTATGGGGCGCCTATCTCTAGGGGCGCCTATCTCTATGGGCGCCTATCTCTAGGGGCGCCTATCTCTAGGGGCGCCTATCTCTATGGGCGCCTATCTCTAGGGGCGCCTATCTCTATGGGCGCCTATCTCTATGGGCGCCTATCTCTAGGGGCGCCTATCTCTAGGGGCGCCTATCTCTATGGCGCCTATCTCTATGGGCGCCTATCTCTATGGGCGCCTATCTCTAGGGGCGCCTATCTCTAGGGGCGCCTATCTCTTTGGCGCCTATCTCTATGGGCGCCTATCTCTAGGGGCGCCTATCTCTATGAGCGCCTATCTCTAGGGCGCCTATCTCTATGGGCCCTATCTCTAGGGCGCCTATCTCTAGGGGCGCCTATCTCTAGGGCGCCTATCTCTATGGGCGCCTATCTCTATGGGCGCCTATCTCTATGGGGCGCCTATCTCTATGGGCGCCTATCTCTAGGGGCGCCTATCTCTATGGGCCCTATCTCTAGGGGCGCCTATCTCTATGGGCGCCTATCTCTAGGGGCGCCTATCTCTATGGCCGCCTATCTCTATGGGCGCCTATCTCTAGGGGGCGCCTATCTCTAGGGGCGCCTATCTTTAGTGGCGCCTATCTCTATGGGCGCCTATCTCTAGGGGCGCCTATCTCTAGGGGCGCCTATCTCTAGGGGCGCCTATCTCTATGGCGCCTATCTCTAGGGGCGCCTATCTCTAGGGGCGCCTATCTCTAGGGGCGCCTATCTCTATGGGCGCCTATCTCTATGGGCGCCTATCTCTAGGGGCAGCCTATCTCTAGGGGCGCCTATCTCTAGGAGCGCCTATCTCTAGGGGCGCCTATCTCTAGGAGGGGCGCCTATCTCTATGGGCTGCCTATCTCTATGGGCGCCTATCTCTATGGGGCGCCTATCTCTATGGGGCACCTACTCTATGGGCGCCTAATCTCTAGGGGCGCCTATCTCTATGGGCGCCTATCTCTATGGGCGCCTATCTCTATGGGCGCCTATCTCTAGGGGCGCCTATCTCTAGGGGCGCCTTCTCTATGGGTGCCTATCTCTAGGGGCGCCTATCTCTATGGGCGCCTATCTCTAGGGGCGCCTATCTCTAGGGCGCCTATCTCTATGGGGGCCTATCTCTAGGGGCGCCTATCTCTATGGGCGCCTATCTCTAGGGGCGCCTATCTCTAGGGGCGCCTATCTCTAGGGGCGCCTATCTCTATGGCGCCTATCTCTATGGGCGCCTATCTCTAGGGGGCGCCTATCTCTAGGGGCGCCTATCTCTATGGCGCCTATCTCTATGGGCGCCTATCTCTATGGGCGCCTATCTCTAGGGGGCGCCTATCTCTAGGGGCGCCTATCTCTATGGGCGCCTATCTCTATGGGCGCCTATCTCTATGGGCCCTATCTCTATGGGCGCCTATCTCTGGGGCGCCTATCTCTATGGGCGCCTATCTCTATGGGCGCCTATCTCTAGGGGCGCCTATCTCTATTGGCGCCTATCTCTATGGCGCCTATCTCTATGGGCGCCTATCTCTATGGGCGCCTATCTCTAGGGCGCCTATCTCTAAGGGCGCCTATCTCTATGGGCGCCTATCTCTATGGGCCTATCTCTATGGGCGCCTATCTCTAGGGGCGCCTATCTCTATGGGGGCCTATCTCTAGGGGCGCCTATCTCTAGGGGCGCCTATCTCTATGGGCGCCTATCTCTATGGGCGCCTATCTCTAGGGGCGCCTATCTCTAGGGGCGCCTATCTCTAGGGGCGCCTATCTCTATGGGCGCCTATCTCTATGGGCGCCTATCTCTAGGGGCGCCTATCTCTAGGGGCGCCTATCTCTTTGGGGCGCCTATCTCTATGGGCGCCTATCTCTAGGGGCGCCTATCTCTATGGGCGCCTATCTCTAGGGGCGCCTATCTCTATGGGCGCCTATCTCTAGGGGCGCCTATCTCTAGGGCGCCTATCTCTATGGGCGCCTATCTCTATGGGCGCCTATCTCTAGGGGCGCCTATCTCTATGGGCGCCTATCTCTAGGGGCGCCTATCTCTAGGGCGCCTATCTCTATGGGGCGCCTATCTCTAAGGGGGCCTATCTCTATGGGCGCCTATCTCTAGGGGCGCCTATCTCTATGGCGCCTATCTCTAGGGCCCTATCTCTAGGGCGCCTATCTCTAGGGCGCCTATCTCTATGGCCGCCTATCTCTAGGGGCGCCTATCTCTATGGGCGCCTATCTCTAGGGGCGCCTATCTCTAGGGCGCCTATCTCTAGGAGCGCCTATCTCTAGGGCGCCTATCTCTAGGGCGCCTATCTCTAGGGGCGCCTATCTCTAGGGGCGCCTATCTCTAGGGGCGCCTATCTCTATGGGCGCCTATCTCTAGGGGCGCCCTCTCTAGGAGCGCCTATCTCTAGGGCGCCTATCTCTATGGGCCGCCTATCTCTATTGGCGCCTATCTCTATGGGCGCCTATCTCTATGGGCGCCTATCTCTAGGGGCGCCTATCTCTAGGGGCGCCTATCTCTAGGAGCGCCTATCTCTAGGAGCGCCTATCTCTATGGCCGCCTATCTCTATGGGCGCCTATCTCTATGGGCGCCTATCTCTAGGCGCCTATCTCTAGGGGCACCTATCTCTATGGGCGCCATCTCTATGGGCGCCTATCTCTAGGGGCGCCTATCTCTATGGGCGCCTATCTCTAGGGGCGCCTATCTCTAGGGCCGCCTTTCTCTAGGGGCGCTATCTCTATGGGCGCCTATCTCTATGGGCGCCTATCTCTATGGCGCCTATCTCTAGGGGCGCCTATCTCTATGGGCGCCTATCTCTAGGGGCGCCTATCTCTAGGGGCGCCTATCTCTAGGGGGCCTATCTCTAGGGGCGCCTTTCTCTAGGGCGCCTATCTCTATGGTCGCCTATCTCTAGGGGCGCCTATCTCTATGGGCGCCTATCTCTAGGGGCGCCTATCTCTAGGGGCGCCTATCTCTATGGCCGCCTATCTCTATGGGCGCCTATCTCTATGGGGCGCCTATCTCTATGGCGCCTATCTCTATGGGCGCCTATCTCTATGGGCGCCTATCTCTAGGGGTGCCTATCTCTAGGGGCGCCTATCTCTCTGGGGCGCCTATCTCTAGGGGCGCCTTTCTCTAGGGCGCCTATCTCTAGGGGCGCATATTTGTAGGGGGGGCTATCTCTAGGGGCGCCTATCTCTAGGGGCGCCTATCTCTAGGGGCGCCTATCTCTAGGGGCGCCTATCTCTAGGAGCGCCTATCTCTAGGGCGCCTATCTCTATGGCGCCTATCTCTATGGGCGCCTATCTCTATGGGCGCCTATCTCTAGGGGCGCCTATCTCTAGGGGCGCCTATCTCTATGGGCGCCTATCTCTATGGGCGCCTATCTCTAGGGGCGCCTATCTCTATGGGCGCCTATCTCTAGGGCGCTATCTCTATGGCCGCCTTTCTCTCAGGGCGCCTATCTCTATGGGCGCCTATCTCTATGGGCGCCTATCTCTATGGCGCCTATCTCTAGGGCGCCTATCTCTAGGGGCGCCTATCTCTAGGGCGCCTATCTCTAGGTGCGCCTATCTCTAGGGGCGCCTATCTCTAGGGGCGCCTTTCTCTATGGGCGCCTATCTCTATGGGCGCCTATCTCTAGGGCGCCTATCTCTATGGGCGCCTATCTCTAGGGGCGCCTATCTCTAGGGCGCCTATCTCTAGGGCGCCTATCTCTAGGGGCGCCTATCTCTAGGGGCGCCTTCTCTATGGGCGCCTATCTCTATGGGCGCCTATCTCTAGGGGCGCCCTTCTCTAGGGGCGCCTATCTCTAGGGGCGCCTATCTCTAGGGGCGCCTATCTCTAGGGGCGCCTATCTCTATGGCCGCCTATCTCTATGGGCGCCTATCTCTAGGGGCGCCTATCTCTATGGGCGCCTATCTCTATGGGTGCCTATCTCTTGGGGCGCCTATCTCTAGGGGCGCCTATCTCTATGGGCGCCTATCTCTATGGCCGCCTATCTCTAGGGGCGCATATCTCTAGGGGCGCCTATCTCTAGGGGCGCCTATCTCTAGGAGCGCCTATCTCTAGGGGTGCCTATCTCTATGGGCGCCTATCTCTAGGGGCGCCTATCTCTATGGGCGCCTATCTCTAGGGGCGCCTATCTCTATGGCCGCCTATCTCTAGGGGCGCCTATCTCTATGGGCGCCTATCTCTATGGGCGCCTATCTCTAGGGGCGCCTATCTCTAGGGCGCCTATCTCTAGGGGCGCCTATCTCTAGGGGCGCCATATCTCTAGGGCGCCTATCTCTATGGGCGCCTATCTCTAGGGGCGCCTATCTCTAGGGGCGCCTATCTCTATGGGCGCCTATCTCTAGGGGCGCCTATCT